AATAACACTAAGTACTTATAATTGCAAAGGACTGAACAAACAATTATTAATCTTCACAAAAATCTCAGCAAAGAGCATATTTTATCCTACAAGTTAAAAACAAATGTAAAAAATTAAATACATGACTGAAAAAGGAGATGCTTCATCTCTCCACACTTATCCTATTAATTATTTTAATTAACAAAATGTATATAATAAATTTATAAGGAACTCCTATAGCATCTTCTAACAAACATTCAGGCATACTCTGCCCTTGGTGCATACACATAATCCCTGTAAGGGTTAATGGGAGTTGGATGCACAAATTGAGAACAGACTCTATTACAGCCTGTAGTATATCTGGAAATGGTTCTTTGTGTGCTGATCTTTTGGCTGTGTTTTCATTCTATCTTTTTAAACCATTATAACTAGCCCAGGTTTGGGTGCATTATAGGGACCTTTAAGAAGCCTTCATTATCTCCCCTCTTCTTAACCACATAATAGGAAAAAATGAGAGTATAGTACATAGACCACACTGAGGAAAAGGAACTTACCTAGAATTTTTGAACCTCTATTTTCTATAATGCTCAGTGGTGAATCACTCTTAAGTGCTGGCCCATTCACCAGTATATGTGTTTTGTGCCAAAGGTTATCAGATTACAAAAGTGTACTCATCTCTCAGGGGACTCATAATTCACCATCACCTTATTTTGATACTAAGAGAAAAATATGTGTATCAAGCAGGGGAAATAACAGGGGGGAAACCCTGTGTTAATGGTGTAGGAAATCTTCCAAAGGGAAAAAACACAGGCTAGAACAATAATAAAGATAACAGAAAAGTAATACTATCACATTATGAGAAAAGACTTGCCTGTCAGTTCATGCACGTCACAGAGTTCCCAACCTGTATTTGAGAAGTTTTCCTGAAATGCAAGGAGAACAAGACAATTAAAATGCTTACTTTAATTAGCAAAATCTGAACCAGGTTTACAATGGCTCAAAGAAAAGAGGCAACAGGATTTATTATTCCTGAAAATACAATAAAAGCTTGACTAAAAAAATATTCCTGCAAGGTGACTATAGATAAAGAATATTCCCAAACAGCTGTAGAGTCATCAGCCCAGATCCCCAGGACTGGCCCAGCTGTGCTAGGCATAGGAGGTGGGGTGTGGGTTGGACGAAGGAAGCTAAAAGGCACCTCTATATTTCCCCAGTCCCGGGAGTAGACAGGGCCAACTGTATTCCCATCATAAATTAGAGCAGCTTCAATCTAATTTACACAGGCTTGGAGACAGAGGCTATTACACAGCTGGGGATCCCTGTAGTACAAGATGCTACAACAACAGGGGAAGCTTAGAGATAGCTATGCTGGCTCAATGCCAGCCAGCATTTGCCCTATTCAAAAGGAATTCTCAGATGCCCTGTTAAGCAGCTTTACTTGGGGAATAGTGGGATGAGGTAAGGGAAATGATGGATTTATCCTGGTGCTGGATCTGCACTGTATCTGAATTAACATTCTGTGGATGTTTGTACACCATTGCCAATTTGCCCCAAATAAAATTATTTTAAAAACTAATCAGCAGAAGTGGTTGTGGAGAAAGAAGAAAGATAGGGATTCTAATGCTAATAAATATTAAATATTATATATACTATTTTTAAATGTAAAACTAATTTTAAAAACTGGGCTTCATTAAGTACAATAACTATCCTCTATACTAAGAAATATGACCCAGTGTTAAAGAATTTAAGGATTAATTAATAAAAATCAATGAGCCAAATGCATCATGATTTTTTTAACCTGTCCATATGACAATCTCTTCTTTGGACTCTCATTGCTAAGGATTAATATGTTTTTCTCTGCATAGAATCTTATATATGAAGTATTATTTGATTCCTGTAACCTGTCTTTTGAAAGAATTTGCAAATATTTCAAAATCTTCTAAAACATTTTTAAATGACTTCTTAACTAATATCAAAATACAGAGAAAAAAGAAGCAGAAAATATCAAAATATATAACATTAAAGAAATAAAATTAAAATCTAGTACATTCCTGTTTTCAGGCACACACAATTTTCAGAAGACATATTGCCCTTAGCAATGAAATTCAAACACAGACAGATGTTTGTGGAAGTTCATTATTGTCGCCTTCACATTATCATCACTGAAAGGCAGGTGCAGCCCCTTTTCTTGCACATCATGAAATCTCCTCTGCCAGTTTCATTGAGAAGCATTTATATCCTCCCTTGAATGGTATCACCCTTACTCTTATGAATAATACCTCTTTAACGATTAGTAGCAGCCAGGACACAAGACACCTTTTCTAATTCCCCCTAAACATATTCTAGGTCAATGGTTCAGTACTGACTCACAGAACAGACAAGCTATTGAATAATCAACACTGCTTCTTGCAACAACCTGAGTTTTCCTTGGAGACATATCAGTCATGTACTAACCTGCTTAGTTTATGACAGCGATCCCCAAACTTTTCAGGGTTGCATGCCCCCCCTTACCCCATCCATGGCTCCCCAGAGCCGGGGCTGGGGCCATGGTTTCGGGGGGATGAGGGGGTGGACAGGGTAAGGGGGCCAAGGCTCGGGCGGCAGCTGGGGGGCAGGGCCAGGGCCAGGGCCAGGAGCAGAGCCCCGGCTAGGCCACGGTCAGGGGCTGGGCGCGGGATCAGGAGCTGGGGCCATAGCTGGGGGCAGAGTGGGGTTGGGTGGCGCTCCCTCCGTCCCATGGGGGGGCTGACCTGGGCCCCACCGTGCCCCCCAAATGTTCCTCTGCCCCCCCAAAGGGGGGGGGTCACACCCCACTTCTTGGGGACCTCTAGTTTATGATATAACAAAATCACAGCCTGAAGTGGCATGAATGCAGGCTTGAGCCTACATATTCTGAGAACAAAAGCAAGCCAACCAGGAAACATTGGAGCATTTCTTCAGCAGATGTAAATTAGCACAACTCCATTGTTATCTAATGGGCTATGCCAATTTACACCACCTGAGGATCTGAACCCCTGACTCTTGAGCTAACTAATGCAGGTCTTTGCTCTACTGCAGTGATACTGATCTCAGGGGTTCAGGAGACAAATTAGTGATCAACATTACCCAAAAGAACCACAGTAGTGTGAGTTCATTGTTTCATTTACTAAAGTACTATATATTCATATTTAAACAGTATGACAGGGAAAATATTTTGTGTGTGTATACAACAAAATGACTGACCAAATATTATTTTATCAACTACAATTGGCTAATAACATAGTACAACCATCCTGACTGGTTAATAACTTAGATTGGTTAATAATTAAATCACAGAGTGTTTTCATATCATGTCCTGCAAAAGAGAGACACAGAGCCACTTGTGGCTTGCAAACCTCAGTCTGAGTATCACTGTTCTACAGATCCAGTTTTACAAGGTGCTGTGCACTCTGGCCCTGATCTAGCAAAGCATGTGCTTAACTTTAAGCACGAGTAGTCCACATTAATAACATGCTTAAAGCGTGTGCATAAGTGATTTGCTAACTCAGGATCACAGGGATCAGCATTTTGAAGAATCAAACCCTGTACTGAGAGTGGCAAGGTTTGCCTATGGCTTTGGCTTAACCAGCAGGAAAAAGGGCAAATCTTCATGAGGGTTTGCCCAGTGGACAAGTGGCAACCCGTTATCTTTTGGAATATTTGTCTTAACCTTACTAACCATATTATTGAACTGGGATTTCTTTATTTGTAACTTCAGCATTAGCTTGGAGTTTGAATCAAAGTTGATTGTTTGTGTGTAACTTCACCCCAGCCCAGCACTCACATTGAAACAGCTTGCGTGCAACATCACCTCTAGCTTAACACTTGCATCAAAGTGACCTGAATGCATGTAATCTCATCTCACCCAGTTTGACACTCATATTGGTTTATTTGTGTGTAATTTCACTTCTAGTTTGGCACTCATGTTAAAGCAGGTTTTTAGTGCACAAATTCATCCCTAGTTGGCATTTATACTGAAGTAATTTGTATCTAATTTCATTTTTATCCTCTTGCAGAACCTAGCAGAACCAGCTAGTTTGTAACTTCACCCAGCTTGGCCCTCACACCAAAGCAGTTACTTTGTGTGAAACTTTAGTACTGGCCTGGCACTTGCACTTAAGGGGCTTTGGTATCACCCTGCACAAAACAGTGAAATTCCTAATAGCCTTGTTAAAATCGCTTCTTTATGAACCCAGTGACATTACTGTCCCATCACTAGTAGACATGTTAGTAAGTGGGGGTTGCAGCAGGCGATGTCCCTGATTGTGTCTCTAGCCAGAACAAGGTGGGAAATGCCTCTCCCTGTCCCTATCTCATCTCATCGTGAATGTGATAAGGATGGGAGCTCTTGGTGCCCAGCAGTGCCATGTCCTCACACCTGTTTGTAAAGGGACCAGCAGTTAACACACGTTGGGAGTCTTCTTCGTGAGTGACCAGGGCAGCACCTTGCATCCGACGAAGTGGGCATTCACCCACGAAAGCTTATGCTCCAATACATCTGTTAGTCTTAAAGGTGCCACAGGACTCTCTGTTGCTTTTTACAGGGCGGCACCGTGACCGCACCCACCGTGCACTTCCTATACTGCGGTCCCTGGCTACGTAGGCTCTCAGTATGCCGATGTGGCCTATTGAAACTACACTTTCCAGCATGCAATGCTCCTGCTGAAAGGATAGCCCCCAGAATGCATTGCTCCATTCCTGGGGCGGCGGGCTGGCCGCGTTACCTGCTGGGAAGTGTTAGCCCAAGGGGGCCGCAATGCATGCTGGGAATTGTGGTCTCCTCGGCCATAATTCCGTATTTGACGCTATAGGAGCAATGTTGGGTTTATTTTATGCCATGTAGGTGCTCCCCTCAGGCCCCTCATTTCGGGTGCTGGAGGTGAACCCTCCTGGGCAGTGTCAGCAGCTTTTTGCCAACACTTCCATTATATTCGTGTTCTGTGTCGAAAAGTGAATGTGTCCCTCCACGGGCGCCGTAGGGTTTGCAGCGCGTGCGCGTTCTGCCGGGAGAAGCTGGTATGTCCTTCCGCACTTGCCGTAGGTTCCCGGCTCGCCCGACGTTGCCACCGCCTTTGTGAAGAGGTGAAAGCGGAGCTGGGCGCGGAGCCTCCGAGCGGCGGTTTAAGCGGAGAGAGGCTCCGCTGTCAGGTTAGCGCCGTCCCCGACGTGTTCTGAGGGAAGGGAAGGGAGCGCCCCGTAGCCCCTGAACCAGCCACCGCCGCACCCCTAGTCTGCGCTAGCGGCAGAGAGGAGTCGGGCGCCCCTTCCCCCCACACCCAGTGCCGCCCAGGGGAGGAGAAGCTACACCCCCCCTCCCGGTACCGCCGGCAGTGGGGAGAGGGGGAGCAGGTTCCTCCCATGGACTGTGGTGGGCGAGGCGGCCCCACACGCTGGGCAGTAGAAGGCGATGGGCCGGGGCACTGGGCTTGGGGGTGGGAAGAGACGGCTAGCCCAGTCTCAGGCGGAGATGCCAGGTCCCTCGGGAGGCGCTTGTTGCCTTGTGTTGTGGGGAGGGGGCCCTGGGCTGAAGCGCCCCGGTTGCTGTAATGGGTGAGCCTAGGCATCCCGGTGGCGTCTCCTTCCAGCCCTAAGGCTCCAGGGTGCGCCGATGCGGTCACCTTTGGGTAACAGCACGATTCTGTGCAGCAGCAACAACAGCCCAGCCACCGTGCGCGGGTGTCCCCTGGAGCTCTCTCTCACTCGTTGTTCGCTTATCCCCGCTGTCACAGCCCCTTTCAGGCGTCTCTGGTTTACGCTGAGGCTGTTTGCAGCTGCTGATAATGTACCAGGTCAGGAAGACGCACCTAATCAGATCAATTTTTCATCTTTTTCCAGTTGCAGCAGTGTTGTGAAGCTGGCTTTCTGTATTGGAGCTACCACGTTATATAATTTATGCTGTGTAAATTTAGTATTAAACTTCCAATTCCTTTATTAAAAACTAAACAAAAATATGCAGTGATCGTATTCATCTCTGAAGTTGCTTTGGTGATCTTAAAAACAAATCTATTGGCAATTTTATGTTTAAAATATAAAAAATCAACATTTATATTGAACTAAATATATGAAATTTCTGGTATGTTTCTTTTCTCATGCACACATGCATGTATGTGAAAAAAGAAACAGCTGTCAATTAATTGTTTACGGCTTTTAGCTTCATCATCTTTGGAAAGCACTGCTTCTGCAAACATAATTTCAGGCGCTTGAATAGTTCCATTACTTGGGCTTAAAGTTAAGCACCTGCATCACTGTTAGCAGAATCGGAGTTTAAGGGCATTCACAGCTTCTCCTCTTGTTCACTGTAGAACTTCCTAAAACACAATTTGGATTTATGTTGCATCAGCAAATTTGATCTCTTATTCTTCCACCCCATACACATACAGCTCTTCTGACCTGTATTTTAATTTTTTGGTACCTTTGTTTAATGGGAATGAACTCTCCACCTCTACCAACCTGTTTAATTTGGGAAACCTTGCTGTGTTCACAGTAGAACATATAATTGACCATGCATTTCTGAATCCACCTGTGTCTGCATCTTTCTTTTGAAAAATACACTGGAATCCTTGACAGTAAACACTAGACAAAAAAAAAAAATAAAGAAAGAAAAACATTGAGTAATCTACATTTTGTGTAGTTCAAATTGTATTCTCTAATAAATTATACTTACCTTGTTTTTTAGTTCATAATAAAGTTGACGTTCCTCATATGATTCAGAATATAGATTTAATACAGCTACATACTACAGAATACACTGTTAAACTGCAACATTTAAAATGAACTAAAATACAAAAGCAGTTCCTTATTTGTTGATATTCTCCTTCCTGCTGTCCTATGCCTGGATCCTGAGTGTAGTTGACTCTCTTCATATGCAGAGACGCATTGTAGGATTAGAGGCTCTAATCTTTTGGTAGCCAGCAGGATATGGTGAGTGAGGGAAATCTGGATATGATGTAATAAATGTTTAGGTGGCTCCTTAAGGCTTTGTTTCACAGCTTTGTTTTTAGTAGGCCAGATAAGTATATTTTATCAATCTGACTACTTTTTTGAAAAATCATGGAAGTCCATTATGTTAAAAATACTTCACTGTCTGTATTATATGACTTGTTTAATAATCACTTCATGTTGATCAGGATTCCAGCCATGTCTGACAAAAGTGAATTGAAGGCAGAGTTAGAGCGCAAAAAGCAACGCTTGGCGCAAATCAGGGAGGAGAAGAAAAGAAAGGAGGAAGAAAGAAAGAAAAAGGAAGTAAGAACCTAAATGTTATCAACAAGAAAATTATCAAATATTTCCTTATGTTCTGTAACTTGTCTTGCACTTAGTAATTTATTAATTTGCTTCATGTTACGTAGAGGTATGCTGTTAAGTAGGGTAGGATTAAAATTTAAATGTGCAGTTTTGTTTTGTTTTTAAGGGGGACTAACACCAGTTTTGAATAGAAATATTTCGATGACAGTGTTTTTCTTCCCCATGCATTGTTAGAAATCCAAACATAATAGCATTACACTAGTCCATGAGAAACAGAAAATTGAAGTGATTAGTGAGATCTCCCTGTAGAAAGTAAACAAACTGCATAAACTGTGAAAAGTATTTTTTTAAAGTACTTCCTTAAATGTAGTTCTCAATATGTCCCTCAGTAATGACTATCAGTGCTGTCAGTGGCCTAGTAGAATATTGTGCCATTAGCCAACTCTAATCTTCAACCTGCATTTTCAAGTCAAAACAATAATCAGGTCATATCCACCTACTCTTCATGTTAGAAGATAGAATTAATAATCAGTAAAAAGAAAGCCAAGAAATTGCTTAAGTGCACAGTTGGCAGTTATACTCTAGAGCCTTCTGCTGCAAACTTCTTCTGCACATTGGCACACATTCAACAAAGCACTTAAGTATGTGCTTGAAATTAAGCATATGTTTAAATGCTTTGCTGAACTGGGGCCTGTGTTTATGTCTTTTCTGCATTTAAGTTATGGGCTGTTAAGAATCTTAAAACAGCATATTACTGAACACGCCAGAAGCATGATTCATATGTAAAGAAAAGACAGAGAAATATCTCACAATATAATCCATGTCCCAGTGATCACAGAAAAGTGTATTGCTAGTTTGCACTTTCCAGGAATCATGTGTTTATAATATTTGGGAACTCCTTGATTTAGGAGAAATCATACAATGGTTTGGAAATATTACATGTATCCAAGAGAGGAGTAGGCATTTATCTTTAACAATTACATAGTGAGAAAATTGACTTATCTAGGTTTTTCCACCTATTCCAAAGATTCCTGTTGAATGACCAGTTCATCTTTACAAAAAAGAATGATAGTGACAGAGTGCCAATGATTGTACTCTAATTATGTGACTGAGATAAATGTATTGTATGGTATGAGCAACTTGAATTTGAATCATATTTCTTCAAGTTAATAAGTAATAGACTTATTTGTTTAAACTTAATGAAGTGTTTTGGCTCTCTCTCTCTCTCTAGAACATCAGTTATTGTAGACTTTTTTCAGTGACCAGTTGGAGGATAATTCATTTGATTTTTAGCCTGAGGTGATGTTATTGGGAGCTGAGTGTGCTTTATTCCTAAAATTCACTTGGCCCAAACATTAATCTTTTGGTTATTTTTTTTGAATAATATGCTGAAGCGTTTGGTTACTTGATTTTTTCCTTTTCTTTTGTGGAGTATGGCAAGAAACAACTTAACTTAAACTGTACTGTGCATCCATCAGTTGCGTTTTTGCGTCTCACATAGTTCTTTCACAGTTCCCTTTCTTTCATTTTGTGAAACCTATGTGATTGACAAGAAAACCTAAGCAGCCCGTGTACACCCCTACAGAGAAGTGGTTCTGAATATGTTCATGCCTGCTAGCACATGATCTATATATTCTTCTAATTAGTAAATGTTTTAAATATTTGCCATATCGGGCATAGTGTCCTGTCACACAGTTGGCCAAGGTTCTGTCTGTCTCCTTGCTATCCCAAACCCATAGTATTTTTCTTTATAAGAGTTACTGCCATTCTAGAGGTTTTCCAGATCATTATCTCATTAAGGAACATAGAAAGAGCTCTTTGACTTTCCCTGCAAAAAGGAGCTTGAGGATTGCTAGATCAGACTTCTCCAAGCTCTACTCATGATATTTATTCACTAAGCACAGAAAAATGAATACTGAAAAATAACTAAATGTTTTCTCACATATGAAACCACAAAATGTTTTACACCAACTATATACTGTCTCTCAAAGGTTGTCTGTTCCTGAAATTTTTTTAGACTGATCAGAAGAAGGAAGCTCTTCCTGTACAAGAAGAGTCTGACCTTGAAAAGAAAAGAAGAGAAGCTGAAGCATTGCTTCAAAGCATGGGATTAACGCCAGATTCTCCTATAGGTAAGAATAATACCAGTTAAATGTTTCATCCCTCATATCCTACATTAAGAATGTAGCATTTGTATTAGAAGCATGAAAATTAAATGACTGACTCAGTAGTTCTAGCCTGCATGTGTCTCTTGTCTTTGGCACAGTTTGTCTTGCATAGTTCACCATTTGTCATAAGTGTCAATCCTAAATGATGTGCCTCAGTGCACACAATTAAATGCTCGATCTCTCTTCTTTTACAAAATATTGCTAGTAAAATGTTTAACTCTGCTAATCTGCTCAATATTTAAGACCGTCTCTGAGAACTGGGATCTAAATTTAAAGTATCTTTGGCACATATTAAATAAAATTGAGGAATATGTCAAAAGTTAGTTTCCTTCAGAGCATAAACAAAAGTGTTATTGGGAATCTGTTTTGGTCTGCATTAAATAACATACATTTTTGTTTTCCTCTTATTTTCCCTGAACAGCACATTGGTATTTTGTCCTCTGTCAACAGGCAGGGTTTTAGCTAGCGATTGTCCACTTCTCCACAATCACTGACCTTAATTACTATACATATCAGTAATGCATCAGTTTGTGCATTTGTTCTGTTTCTACTACTTAACTTCCCCCTCCCACCAACACCTACACAATCTTATGGGTGTTGGATTGAGGTTCACTTAATCAGCAGATGGGTCTAACATATTTATTAAGGGAAAAACAGAGTAGTGATCAGTTACAAGTGGGAAGTTCATCAGCACAATCTCATCAGTCTCCTCCAGCACCAAACAATACAGCAGCCTCCCTTTGTCACACAAACTTTTTGCTTATATTTTCTTATACATATGTCCTAGTCTCTCATTTCCATGTTAACTATCTTCCCTGTCCGTACAAGTTTAGTGTTAAATCAGACCGGTCTTTTCTAACTTTAGTTATTTTATCTTGATTACACTGCAATTTCTTACACATATGCAACACTAAACATGATTATTCTGCAATTTCTTACATGTACACAGTTCTGCTTATGCTGTTAAATGTTATCAGAACAGAGTGTTAAAATCCACAGCAGTCTTCTGTCAGGCCTAAAGGTGCTTTCACTTCCAATAATGGGGGTAACAGCAAGGTCAAATGTAAGTTTTAACTGTCTAGGAAAATATAATTGTTCTTAATTTGTTCTTTCCCCATTTTAGCCTCAGATCCTACCCCATTCTTGGATAGGTTTGTATATCAGGTATGTCTGATTGCTCAGACTTTGGCTTTCCTTAGCCACATCTTTCTGAAAAAAAATCAGACTGGAGAAGTATTTTTAAACTCCATCCTGAATCTCAGACACTTCTCTCATCACTAGTTTTTGACCACCCAGGATTTCAAGTTATCCTTTTGATTTGGGCTATCACTCTGAATCTTGTCTTGCAAGTATGAAGCAGTGTGGTAGTTGCTTTTCCATTATGGACATGATCCTTCTCTGACTACCTTGTTGCATCTGGTCTTGAAACAATCCCTATGTATTTTGAAAGCGACCATGGGGATGCCATTAAAAACATTCTTATTCCATAAGCTTCAGCAATGATCTACAATGACTTGTAAGAGTAGAATCCTGTCTCTTTAATCATTACTGTGGCAATTGTACTCCACAGATGTTTGAGTATCTTTCTCTGTCTGCGCCATTCAGAGTTTTGGCATCTTTAGCAGTACAATATGTTACAAACTATCCATTCCTCTCTGGGTATTTTTGGTAGACTAAAATTTTGGACATTTCCATACAGGAGAAATGAAGGCTTGATAGTTTTGCTGAACTAATATGAAAGACTCTTTCAGAAGTCCACAAGCACATGATTACTAGCTGTCTGTGAAAGTCTGAAAGCCATGAACTGGTACATCTCTATAAAACAAATCTGTGGGTTTATAATGTGTAACTGTTCATGGAAAATTGTCTGAAATCCCATGCCCTAACAAAATTGGTACTCTTCAGGCAGGGAACCATTTGTCCAAAGCCTGGACCTTGCTTGCATGTGACAGTGGAGAACGCTCCCTTTCAGTGGCTATATTTAACTTCAAGCAGTAGCTTTGATCAAGCTCTAACTCAGGTTACATTAAGTTTCTTCAAAGGAAAGAGCCATATTGGAAAAATGTATAAAGTAAACACGTATTGATAGTCTTTCCTTTCTGTAGACTTCCAATAAGGCGGTTTTCCTATATCAGATATTGCCTTAATGATATAATATGGGATTCCACTTTTAAGAACTCATCCTCTGAACCAGATTTTCTTAAATACCACCATATCCCTGATGTAAGAAGACATACTTGTAGTAGGAAGAGAGCCTGAGATATAAGCCCTTGTGTTAGAGGCCTGGTATGAGGCCTGAGCTAAAGTGGGCAAGCTTTGCTAATATAAAGCAAAGTTAGCAAAAGTTAGGCTGTGAGCAAACGTCAGGGTTTGCCTGCTTGCAAGTTCACAGAATCTGGCAAGAACAGGGCTGATATTGGAGAAACACACATTGATTAAGTACTCTGTGCCTAGCACTTCTTAGAAAACACATTTCAGAAGAGTGGTACCAAAACATCCTGATATCAAGGATGGTACAAAAATATTTTCCAAGAATTACAGGAACATGCTGACCCCTCCCAAAAGACAAGGTCAGGATAACGGAGTGATAAATAGAGATGTTTTAATCGAACCAACATGCACAAGGAGATGGGTGATAACTAGCCACATCAGGGGGCAGTAACTATTTATCTCACGGGGCAGCACATAATTTGTTTGTATCAGGGTATAAAGAGGTATCTCTGAGAGTGTCTTGGCCCAACCGAGGGGGGAATGGAAAGTTCTGCCATTCACAGAGCTGCGTCCATTGTCACGGGCATACATGTCTTAGTGTCCTCATGCTATTACTGGTGCTTTGTCGACAATAAACCTGGCCTGGTGCCTTTGTACCTTAACGGATCTTGTGGTCATTGGTTCGCTCGAGGTCTGCTGTGCCGGCTGTCTGCGTAGACCTAGGATAGCACACAAGGAGAACACACACAGATGAACATCTAACAATACTTACTTAGTGAAACACAAAACTGCTTCAAGAAATCCTTAAAATTTTATCTTCTAACAATCAAAATTAAGCCTTCTTATTTGGAGTGTCTCGTAAGATAATTACATTTGCATTAAATAGGCATTGTCCCCACCAAGGGGGAGACTTCCTTTTTGGAAATGACATACTCCACAAGGGGGCATTGCAGTATCGCAGATTAAATTTGAGAATGCTTTAGAAATAATACACTCTTTGTGCCGGTCATAAGGATTCTGTGCACAAATCTTTTTCTTAGCAGTCCTCTAATCTGCTCTTCCCACTAGCCCACTTATTAACTAGGAAGAGTGTGCAAGTTTTAGTCTAGTAACAGTGCCTAAAGAGATTAGGCCTCAAACCTCTTCACTGCATGTTAATATTTGCAGTATTGATTATGAATAAAGTACTGTAGAAGGAGATCTAGTAAATCATGGTATTACCTGAAAATCTGTTTGCTAGATACATATGCCTACGATAAGTAACTGATAGGCTACTACAAGTTGCCTTTTGGTAAATCAGTATACAAGGACTAGTTCTTGTCAATTCCTTTTACATTTTGCCTAATTTTAGTCTGCCTTCTACGAATATTACATTATTTTAGATCTGCTTTTACCAGAGGTGTATTGGAGAGTTCTAAATGTAATTTCCTCTGCAAGAAAAGCATTTTGGGGGAGGAGCAAATGTAGGGTTTTTTTTAATAGGCAGAACATCAGAAATAAGAATTATTTTCCAAAACTCTGGATTAGATCTGCCATTTACTTTGGTAATGAGAATCTATTTCTTTAGCATATACATGTTGTACTACAGATAAATCACTCAGCTATGCTGTACATAGCAGTTTTTTAAAAAATGGAAACTTCATACAAATGTAAATAAACTGGGAGGCATAGAGTAGGTACTCAGGCTGACACTAGTCTTTCCTTTCCAGCTATATAGTGCTGTCTCTCTTTTAAAAAATAATAATTCTGGTGCAAATAGGATTTAATAAAGATAGAATTTTCATTAAATACTTGTGTGGTCTTCTGTTGAACAAGAGATTCTTAAAAGGAAAAAGGCATTTTAACTTTAGTGTATGTTAGAGGGTCAAAATCTGTCCTGACTCGCACTCCATGTAGTTTCAATATCTCGAACAGGGTTGCATCATATGTAAATTGGGGCAGAATTTGGTGTAAAAAAATCAGGGAACCTTCAAATGATTGTTTTCATTGGTTAATTATTTTCATGGCAGTGATCATAGAATCACAGAAACGTGGGACTGGAAGGGACCTCAATCGGTCATCTAGTCCAGTCCCCCTGTACTGAGACAGCACTAAGTATTATCTAGGCCAGGGGTCTCAAACCCGTGGCCCGCGGGGCTCCCTGTGCCCCCCCCATCCCTCTGCCTACCCGCGGGATTGCCCCCTGTGGGATTGCGAGCCCCGCGCCGCTCTCTGCAGCAGCTGGCAGCATGCCCTTTTGGGACGGGGGAAGGAGGCAGAGGGCTCCTGCATTGCCTCCTTCCAGGCACCGCCCCGTGCAGCTCCCATTGACTGGGAACAGGGAACCGCGGCTAATGGGAGCTTCGTGGGAGGTACCTAGAGGAACGGCAAGAGCAGCGCACGCACAGAACCCTGATCGCCTCCCCCCCCTCCCCCAGGGGCTGCAGGGACACGGTTCCACCCGCTTCCAGGAACGGAGCGGCGCAGGGCCAGGGGCCAGGGCAGGCAGGCAGGGAGCCTGCCCTGGCCCTGGTGTGCGCCGCTGCCACCCCGGAGCCGCTCTAGGTAAGCGGCGCCGGGCTGGAGCTCGCACCCTGAACCCCTCCCGCACCCCAACCCCCTGCCCTGAGCTCCCTGCCACATCCCGCACCCCAACTCACTGCTCTGAGCCCCCTGCTGCATCCCAAACCCCTCCTGCACTCCCTGCCCTGAGCCACCTGCCACACCCCTCACCCTCTTGCACCCCACCCACCAACTCCCTGCCCTGAGCCCCC